TCAGAACGTATAAACAATCAAACTGACACTATTAACAACAACAACAAAATAAAAAAGTATCAACAAAACAAAAATATTGTGCTACTACTCCAGCGTCCCCACCATTTTACACCGGTTAAGGGAGCCACTCCCTGTACGGATACATAGAAGATAATATTATAGACACCATAAATAATATAAAACATACCGAATTATTAATGAATTACATCTAGGAAGGTGACACCCCCCTGAAGGAAAGCACACGAGCAAACGCGCAACGCGGGAAAGTGCATGGGGAGCCGGAAGCCGCAGCCCAACGATGCAGCGCACCTGGTGTTCTGTCTGCAGCAGCCGCACCTTTTTTTACCGGTCAGGGGAGATGCTCCTTCGCGGGGATGCATCGAAAATTATAATATTATAGACACCATGAAATTATATCAAAAATACCGAATTATTAATGAATTATAGCGGAAGCGTGGTAAAAGAGTATCGACAGATCTGAGGGGAGGAAAAGTTGCGGTAAAGACGAAGGATGACCGCTACTTCTGCTGTGAGACGGCTTTGAGTAATGCTGGGCTCTCACCCCTTTCGCCTCCCCTTCTCTGTCGACGGTCTACATCAGAGCTGCAGTTAACAGCACCGACACGACTCCGATAAGGAGTGGACTGGAGACACGCGAGGCCCCATTGTAGGATCTGACGCATCTTCTTCTGCTCCAGTTTAGCCTATAACCCGCTTCACATTTTACACATCTACCATATCGATTGCATTCTAGGCAATGGGAGGCAGCGAATCTACGACATCCTGTCGGTCCGATGAGCCCATAGCCAGGTCTAAATTTTGTAGTATCTGCAGTGGATTCTATGCAATTGTGAACTGAGCAACTATGACAAAGGTGATCATTCTTGAGCGCATACCCGGCACTGCAGGCCTGACACGATTCTTCTGTTTTACATTGTGTGCAATGGGCGATGTTGCAAATTTTTATGCAAGTCTTTTTTTCAAGGCCTGGTTGAAGCCCTGCGGCGCATCTCGTGCATATAGAGGCATCATTCGCGCACGCTACACAACCAGAGACAACGCATCTAACACAGATTCATTTTTTTAACCCAAACCCGTGTTGGCATTGAATACATTTATTTGCTTTCAGATTGAACCCATCATTGCATTCTTGACAATTTGTTGCGTCTTTGCATATTTTGCAATTTGGGACGCACGCTTGGGTGTTTTGAGTATGACGCGTTGGAGATTGCTCAATTGTTGTTGAAACTGAAGGAAGCTATTCTGTGTTCTGCACCTCTCTTGATAGAGGCTGGTTCACCACCGTCGCAAAATTATCGGCCTGCACCAGCCTCACGAGTAAGAGCGCCGCACAGAGGAGCGCCATTAATGCTGATTTGGTGTGCATTTCGCTTCGAGGTATCCGAGATGTGGGCTGATGAGGAAAGAAGGTGAGTCAAGTCTAGCTGGCAAGTATTTAGATCGATGAGTTATGAGTCAGCTTTGTTATTTTATGAGATAACAAAAATAATGCTTTTGTTCAGAATAGCTTGGATGGTAATCTTAGAAATAATGTAGATAAGGAAATGTAAAAGACATACATCATTGATAATGAGGAGAATGCTCTTCTGGGAATATACTGCCTACCTCTTCGTGGTACAGCGGGCTAATACCTATTTGTTGGCGAAGCCATGCCTTTACACGCCTCCCGGTCATCGGAAGAGGCATAGTTACTTGTGTGGTAGAACATTTGGCAGGTCTTCCCTAAAGTCCGGAGTAGATTAAATATTCTACTTAAGTCTGTTAACTCCTATCTGACTTTATATTTTCACCGTGATGAACGGCTCTCGCATATTTTTATTTGTTTTAATGTTGGTTTCGACTAAGCGCTCTAATGAAAGTCATACTATGGGATATTGAACCTTCCATTTCGGTGGATCTGAGAGTTGATTAAGCTAAAGACGTTAACACAACACAATACAGAAGATGTCTGTTTCGTATAATTTGCTAGTTGGAAAGAGACAAAAATTTAATCCATTGAATCTGGAGTACCCCAGCATTTTACTACCCAGCTCTCTTCGATGATTTTCTCTTCTCTTTCGCTTTCTCTTTCTACTTTTCTTTTTCCTCTTTCTTTTTTTCAAGGTTATTTCTCTTTTTTATCCTTTATTCCAGTATTAATTTCTTTGTAATACGTAAGATTGGAAAAAAATCTCACTATTCGTCATTAGTACTCACTAACTCATTTGTTGTTTCTTTAATTCATAAAGTTCGTAATTATTGGTATAATAAGGGGAGAGAAGGGACAATAATAAAAAAAACATCTTATTTACACAAAAAGCTTGCATAGAATTATCAAAACCATGACAGTTAAATTTATTGATTTTTACACACAACTCATTTGAATCAGCAGATAAAGCAATGGAGTATTTTTCTCCATTATTTTCGCATTGCCGTTATTTAATAAAGCGCGTCCCAGCGTGGTCAGCATCAGAGGAAGCCATGGCTGATAAAAGTTGAATGTCAAACGCATGGCTTCTTTTCGCCAAACAAATACAAATGTGTCTCTTCGGAGGACAAAGAAAAAGAGAACGTCAGGAGTTCCAATATAATGTGCCTTTTTCCTTACGTTTATTATTACTACATATTATTGTGTTCAATAGAAACAAGGTAATTCAAATGACAAGGGTCTCTAAGAGTTCCGCTACTAAGCCATACATTGCGTGAAATATACGCACAAAAGCAGAATATACAAAAGACGAACATGTTGCATTCGCCGTATTATGCAATATAAGTAATGAAGATAAATATTAGAAAAATACATCGAATGAATCCTCTCATTACTCATTATCTTAAGATTTAAATATCCTTGAAGTTATTTGCAGCTCCCCTCACATCTCGAATCGCCATCATCTACTCCGTCCAGCTGGATCGTGGTGTGGGAGATACCGAAGCGGTGAAGACAGAGCTCTTTGGCTTTGATCAAAATTTCCTCATTTTCCTCTGCAACGAGGTGTGCGGAGAGTGAAATATTGTCAGCAGAG